GGGGGGGGGGGAGAAGTGAGTAAGGGGTCAGAGGGGAAAACTAAAAGAACCTTTCTCAAGGGAAAATAAAAAGAAGAAAACTACGATAAACAAAAGAGCTTTTTGGAATGACTGTAATGATGACGACCATGTAGGAGTACCTGGGCCATGTGGCTGAAAGGTACACACATGTAACTGCTAGTGAACAGATCATGAGGTCGAATCTCAATCAAGTCAGATGAATATATAGTAATGTTAGAGATATCCACAAGAAGAAAAAGAAGAAGAGGAGGAGGAGGAGGAGGAGGAGAGATTAGGAGAGAAAATTAGAAAGTGCTCACCTGCAACTGAGAGCTGTGTTATGTCGATTGAGCCCACACAAATCCACTTTGCGGTGTCCACTCCGAACTCCACAGGCAGGGACTGATGGATGAGGCACATTTTCATGATCCATACGATTTTACAAATGCAGAAATTGATACAAAAAGAAAACAGGAGAAAAGTATACAATGAAAAGAAACACAATCATGAAGAGTGAGTTTATGTCAGAGAGGTCTGAGCAAGCAGAGACCAGCAATGCAATCCGCAAAAACACTAGGTTGCCAGGGGCACCGACCGGGCACTTGCGCAGGTCGCCTGGGCGTCTGACCGCCCGGGGTACCCTGGGCATGCAAAAATCCCGGCCCCTTTTCTCTTTCAGGTGGTGGGCCATCTTTGTGCCCACCAACTTCCGCCTGCATCCGGGCTCTTTTATGTCTTTTATGTCTTTTAAGTGGTTAGCAAAATTTGGTTGGGAGGGTTGGGATGGGAGGTTGGGGGAAGAGCGGCTGGCGACGGAGGAAACATCATCATCATCGCCATCATCATCATCATCAATCCACTACCACCATCATCATCTTCATCATAACACCACAACTCAGGCAGGACCGTAGGATGGACGGATCATCATCATCATCATCATCGTCGTCGTCGTCGTTGTCATTGTCATCATCATCATCATTATCATCAACATTATCATCATCACCGGCATCATCATCATCGTCATCATCGGCGATTCATCGCCACCATCATCATCATCATCATTCCATTATCACAATCACCATCATTATCATTTCTTCTGGCAGCAGCTGGCGACGCATGGGGGCATGAGGCTGCCTATCGCGTGCAAAACGTCCCGTTCAACCTGGGTGGTGGGGCCGCCCAGGATCTGACCAGGTGACCAGCCTCGCCGGGTGGCCGGGCAGCATTCTTGGCAGGTGTGGGCAGCCCATGCCCGTACAGAAATATCCCAGCATGGATTATCACTTATAGTCAGGGTTGCATACCTGCCAACCGACTGAGTTGGGGGCTGTGCTGTGCTTGCTGAATACAACCCAAATCCGCTGAATGACTTTTGGGGATAGGCAGGGGGTCAGGGGGGGTTTATTGGGGGGGTATGGGAGGGTATGGGGGGGGGTATGGGGTGGTGTAGGCCTTATTGGGGGGCGGTATGAGGCTGTTGGGGGACGCTTCGGGGGTGTTGGTGGGGTGTTGGGGGAGTGTATGGGAGTGTTGGGGGTGGGTATTGGGGTTATGGACTCCCATCATTTTTTTTATTTTTATTTTTTTTGCAGGGTGCCCACGACCGCCGACCGGTAGGTGCTGACAAGGGGCGCCGACCGTCGGGGTGTGCAACACTGCTTATAGTATCATTCATTGGTTAGGGGACTCTGCAGACTGTACAGCGTTCAGCCTCCTGATGAGTCAGTGACACTCTGATGAAACACTGTCACAGCCCCTCATTTGTTGTCTTCTTCTCCCTCTCTGCCTACGGTTCACCAGGCAGTTCTCCATGTATATATATATATGTATATAAATGGCGATATATATATATATATATATCGTCACAAAATATATATATCTGTTTGTGACGATATATATATACCATACTTGTGGCACATGCCGTGTGCAAGGTCTGCGCATGCACATGATGCGGCACATCAAAAAAAAGACAAAACGTAAAGGACAGGGTGGGGTGGCCAAACATGCCCCTCGCTTTAAAAACCAAACTGCAAGAGGGAAAAAAGTTGGGGCCATGTCATACCCCAAAACTGTGAGTGCATGTGCGTACGTGTGGGTGTGCATGTCTTGATTGTGTCCAGTCTCTTTTCCAAAGGGCCCCTGCAACACATTAGCAAGGACCCACTGTGACACAGAGATAGGCACAAAATTTCCAGTTTTGTATGAGTGAACAGTGTGGGCCGAGAATATATAGTCTGGATTCGAATTCAGGTCTGTGCATCAGCGGTTATGGGTCACTAATTCTGTGTTTTTTCTTTGTTCTTTTTCTTAGGAATATGTGCTGTGGCCCTCTCACCACATGCAGAAAAGACAAAACATATGGCGGCGTATTATTCCACTTCTAGCAGAAGATTCATTCTAGGTTTGCACATTTGGTGAGTAGTGCAGCCAAGCCCTGAGAATCACGTGCAGAGACCAACAGGGCCTACCTAAGTGAGCAACCCATAACTGCTCAAACACAGACCTGAATTCGAATCCTGAGTATATATTCAGCCAGCTCAAGCTTCACTTCATATGCACTGCCTGCCTTGATTTTGGAGGAGGGTCCGCGCTGAATTGCTGCGAGGACCCTTCAGATTGAGTGCATGGGCCCTCTGATATGTGTGAAGGGGATCCGTTGCTCTCTCTCTCTCTCTCTCTCTCTCTCTCTCTCTCTCTCTCTCTCTCTCTCTCTCTCTCTCTCTCTGTGTGTGTGTGTACACACACACACACCTAAAAATAATATTAAAAAAAAAAAAACATTGGGCGCACGATCGGCACATCACTAATTTGCGCATGGCACATGGCGCACGCGCACCGCAGAAGTGCACCGCATGTATGGCAGCAATACAACTGCCAACTGCTCATCATCAGATGGATAATAATTCAACAAATTTAACAAATTATTAATTAGTCTTTAGACTCTATCCAACGCTAAATACATGCGAGGGACCAAAATTCAAGAAATACCCCGAGGGAAGGATGAAGAGAATTTGGAAAGGAGGTAGACTTTAGAGTCTCGACTCTATCCTAATTACTACTTTGACGCAGCAATCTCCCGCATTTCAGGATGCCTTTTTCAGAACATGAACAATGAGCAATTTCGATGAAAACAAATCTTCTTCTTCTTCTTCTTCTTCTTCTTCTTCTTCTTCTTCTTCTTCTTCTTCTTCCTGAATGAGAAAGAAAATCAAAATCCAAGCTCACTGCCAAAGCTCCACGTTCACTGTTCTTCTTTCAAATTCACCCAAAAAACATCTGAAACAACAGCATCATCGAATGCACTCCAGAGAAGGGATTTGGGGGAAAGGAGCAATGCTGGAGGAGCTCCATAGCTGATGAAATGCATGGTAGAGTTTTGGAGAGGACTCACCCGTAGACCAAGTTTACGGTCTCCTTCTATGCTCTTGAAGTCGTTCACGATAGCGATGCCTAACTGTGAGGGAATTTGAAAAGACAAACCAATAAACTAGTTTTAGAGAACGATTCCAATCTTCTTTTCTTCGAGCCAATAGACTTCTACAGCTCCAATTTGACCAAAAAAGGATGCAATTTTTTTGTTTTCCCTCAAATTTCTCAAACGTGTTTCGAACATTTAGCATTGGCCGATTCGGCTTCACAGCTTCAATTTTTGCGGTATCAAAGACTTCTCTATCCATCAGAAAAAAAAAAAAAAGGTGCGTGAGAGAGGAGCCACAAGTAAAGCACATTGTATTGAGGATGGTGTGGCATCAATGTATAGCTGCCTGCCTGGCCTGGGAGTCGTGAGAATAGTATGAGAAATTCAGAACTGCACATGGCAGAGAAGGGACCGGATCGCTTGACCCGGTCATGAGGACGACATATAAAAGGCATGGGGAGAGAAGGCGAAGTAGGGGAGGAAGCGGGGGGAACTCCATTTAAAACCAGCATTGCATTGCAATTTGCAATAAGTCTTTTCCGGTCGTCTTTTCGGGTCACATCAACATCGAACTTCCGGGCTCAACAGACTGTAAATGGAAGGGCCTACACAGCTCTCAGAAAGCCCTCAGGTCGGGAGACCTGGGGTCGAGATCAAATGGAGGTGGTGCTCAGGGCCCCTAGAGATCAAAAGTGAGCCCCAGGAAAGTCAGCAGCCAGGCGCTACTGGGCTCAGAAGTCAAACAGTCAAAAGTCTCCTCCAGGACTAACAACGGCCACAGATCACACACAATCCAAAGGCTCAGGATCTCTTTATGGAAGCATCCAGGGCCTACAGGATCAATGCACACTAAGGTGGTGGCAAAATCTGGGGCCGTACAGACTGAGAAATCCGCGCCGTCTCGGGCAGATCAGACCACCCAGAATAAACTGGCACGCTAAAGGGCTTCAGATAATCAGCTGGAACGTCAATGGTCTTGGGAACATTCTGTCTGAAGAAGACAAGCTCAGAGATATCCGGACAGGTCTGGTGGGGAAGGACATCCCCAAACCCGACCTCATACTCCTCCAAGAGACACATCTAACCAACCTGAACAGTCACCCGAAAATACAGCAGAGGATGGAGAGAGCTGTAGGAGGATGTGCAGTCGCAATGTGGTCCAATAGAGACGGTCAAAGCAATAGAGGGACAGTGATACTGATCCCAAAAACGTCGAAAATCCTGACCGAAGGACAGATCCTTAACAGCGAGGGAGATGGAGAGGAAGGGAGATGGTCGTGGTTGGACATCAAGTGGCAAGGTGAGGATCTGCGAATTCTCAACCTGTACGCACCCAACATGGAATCTGACAGACTGATTTTCTTTGAGAATATCAAACCCCTCATCCCCAACCCACAGCCAATAATCATTGCAGGGGACTGGAACACAACCCTGGACCCGAACCTGGATCGGATCTCAAGAACGGTACTAATGGGACCCTCTAGAGCGGGCACCCGGATTCGAAACCTGATGACTGAATTCGAACTCTGCGACCCCCTCAAGTCACTGCATCCAGACAAGAGAATTTTCTCCCGGATAAGGAGAAACCAAGCCAACCGGACTTCGCTGTCCAGGATTGACTACTTCCTCATATCCGAGAGCTTACTCGGAACAGTCAAAGAGGCCGAAATCCTCCCATCAGCAGCCTTTAAAGGACTAGATCACAAACCCATCCAGATGCTGCTCAATTTCAATGTGCCAGTTCAAACAGGCMAAGGCTTCTTCAAGCTTAACAACTCATTATTAAAAACCGAAAGAATKAAKGCGACAGTCRRAGAAAACTGGRCTATCAAKAAGCAGCGAGAATCGAGGAGAACAAATAGCCACCAATGGTTCATTGACAGYTACACAGAACTAACACGAYCAGTWTCAGCGGAATCAAGAGATATTGCTAGAGACCGTAAAAGAAGAAGGGATGAACTCCAATTCGCGATGGTCGTCGCTGAAGAAAATCTGGCGGAGGACCCAACCAGTAGTTTCTACCAAGAACTACTAGACGACACCAAAGAGGAACTAAACGAATGGAGAAGATGGGAACTCAGAGGTTTACAAATACGGGCGAGGATGACAGACTATGCACTCAACGAGACTATGACAAAATTCTTTTTCTCCAAGATCAAGGCGAACGCCAGGAACAGCATGATAGAGGCACTCAAAGACCCATTGGACTCAGGAAGCACAAAAACAACAGGCACGGAGATGGTAGGGATAGCCAGATCCTTCTACGCAGATCTATACGAAGCCAAGACCCCCTCACCCCCGACAACAGCGAACCTAGCAGCCCGCCAATTGATGCTATCGTAYCTCGACAGAACCATCTCGACTAGTCAGGCGGAAGGCCTGGATAGACCACTGACCCTGGCCGAACTGCACACAGCCTTGAACCAGATGGGAAATGACAAAGCCCCGGGCATCGACGGCCTCTCAAAGGAATTTTGGAGCTCCTTCTGGCCGACCCTGGGAGAGGACCTACTCGACTTTTTCAACGAAAGCATGCGCAAAGGAGGCCTAGGTAAGGAACTGAGCACCAGCATAGTCTCAATGCTGTACAAGAAGGGAGATAAAGAAGACCTGAAAAACTACGGACCTATCTCCCTACTAACCACGCCATACAAAATCCTAGCCAAGACGCTTGCAAACAAAATCAAGCAGGCTTCATCCCAGGTTGTTACATATTGGACAACGTGATGACTCTGAATGAAGCAGCAAAAAAGATCACGGAGAAACGAATGAAGGCAGCAATCCTGTTCTTCGACTTCGAAAAAGCCTACGACCAAGTTAACTGGGATTTTCTCCACGCATGCATGGAAAAAATGGGGTAAGGCCCGAACTTCAGAACTTGGGTGAGAATCCTGTATGCAGATGCAACAGGAAGAGTCCAGGTCAACAGAATCCTATCAGAAACCTACCCAATCTCATGGTCAGTCAGACAAGGCGACCCACTGGCTCCCCCCATTTTTCTCTTCATAATGGAAGCCATAGCCTCATTTCTCCGCAAAGACCCGTCAATTGACCGCCTCACAGAACGGAACTTCAACCCGCTACACGACTTCGCCCTACCCACTGCACTCATGTTCGCTGACGACCTTACGGTACTCATTAGAGCAAACAACAGTTCCTTCCAATCATTGGTAAGGGCAATGGAAGCATTTAGACTGGCATCAGAAATGAGGGTCAATTGGAATCAAACCGAAGGATGGTGGTTAGCAGACGGCACCCCTCCCCAACCTCCGGACACAACCACACCCATGACTTGGACCACGGGAGAGCAAGCACTACGGTTCCTGGGCATCATGATCAACAAGGAAGGAGTTTGGCAGGGAATGGGCCAGAATCTGATAGCAAGAGCGATCACCCGCCTGACCCTGTGCAAAAACGCCCAGGCCTCACTAATCGGACGGGCACTACTTATCAACACAGCGATCTTCTCTACACTGTGGTACTTGGCATCAATCTGGTCCCCCCCGGACGACGACCTCAAGGAGCTCAAGAACAGGGTGAGGTGCTATCTGTGGACAGGTGACCCTAACAGGACCACCTGCATCAACAGGGTCACATGGAGCCACATCACTAGGAAGCCACAGGAAGGGGGCCTCGGGATAATCGACCCAAAACAGGAATCCATAGCACTACAGATGAAATGGATAATCAAGATTCTCACCAGACAGTTCCTCCCGTGGACCCAAATGGCGCTAGACAACATCAGAAACTTAGCTCCCATCAACTCCCCCCCAAACATGAACGGCCTGTTCTGGATTATGGCAAAGGAATGGACAATCAAGTCCGGCAGAACACGCAAAAGAAACCCCACACAGCACATTCTTGCACAACCCAACACAAACACAACGCAGACAGTCAACAAATATTGGCGCCCCACCATCAAAGCATGGCGCAAAATGATGCCAAGCAAACACGGGGCACCTGGTAACAGAGAAGAAGTCCTGAGACAACCGCTATTCTGCAACCCCTGGATCACTGACCCAAGTGGAACAACCTGGACCCTACGCTCTCGGGACCGAAGATGGTTATCGTGGGTAGAAAAAGGAGTGTGGCAGGTCAAGCACATCTGGGTAGAAGACCAAGGACGGTGGGCGACGGATCAGGAACTACGCACCACACTAAAAGGCTGCCACGCCCTCTCTGATAACTTAACAATGATCCAAAATAGCATCCCAACACAGTGGATCCCCCGCCTTAGAGAGGAATTTTTGTGGAAGTCCGGGGGCTGGGGCATACCAGTCTCCCAAACCCAGCCTACCAGAGCATACAGATTCATCACTAGAACAAACCCACCCGGCTACCTATCCAAGTTCTACTCCTACCYGGTAGTAAAACATAGCACAAATGAAATGGAAGTCCAGAACAACGACCCCCAGAGCGAGATGCTGGAGACTTTCCGACTGAGAAAAGTGAGGGTATCAAAGTCCAAACCCTGGAAAATCTTCCGACCGGATCTATGCATCTCAGAGCTAGAATTCGACCCGAAAGAATGGATATGGAAACAGGGAAACTCAGGGAAGACGAGAACAATAGCAGAATACGATGTCAAATTCGGCTATGATCTAGGCCTACAGACCTCAGACCCAGACCCCAGACTCA